ATATAGATATCAGCTTTTTTTAGAAAGAACTCAGTGGGTCAATTTCTAATCATATATATATAAGCATTCCTTTGAAAAATTTGCTCTGTAAGACAAGCCCATGGAAGTCGCTAATACTTATTAAACTTGTTATTAATTTAACATTAATTAATTAGTTATAAGATACTCTGTGCAGCACTGATACATTAAAAGTATACCGGCTGAAGTACAGGCTATTTGCACGAGTTCATTTATAAGAAAATAAAACAATATTGATATAATCGCTGAATTTTAAGGAGAGTAAAGCCAAGTGCGCACCAATGTTTACAAAAATGTAAAATGATTTTTTTTAAATCATTGCTCAAATTATAATTAGTTTTAAGCGAACTGTAATTTTAAGCCTCACAGAATTAGCATTTAGAGTTGATGTTGAATAATGAACAATAATATAAAATTCCGATGAGAAATAATTGTATTATTTTCAATATTTAAAGTCTTAACATATTTTAAACCTGGAGCAGGTACGCACTTGATACTAATGGTCGAGTGGGGTAATTGAGCCACCCCAATCTTTTTTTTATAATTATTTTTATAGTACACAATAAAAATCGTAATTCCAGTGAATAATTTAACTAAGAGAAAATATTCTCACCTACTTTCAAGAACACAGAAAATATTTCGGAAAAAAAGTTATCACACCGGGAACTCAGTCAAAACAAGTACCTAAAGATTGTAAAAAAACGTTTGTCACTTCCAAAAAAGAGGGAGGTATGTGACAAATATATTTTAGTTCATACGTTAAGACTGTCAAACGGGGATAGTGTCAGAGCCATTGATAACAATTAAACAGTTTTACCAGAATTACCGATTTCGTGCACTCTATGCTCGGCGTGACAACTCCGGAATAAAAGTGTATTTATTACAATATGGATGTTGAAAAAAAAATTATGTAAAACGTTTTTCATTTTGCTTTTTTATATGCTTGGGAATAACTCATAGAAATAAATCTTGGCCAAGTAATCCTTCAAAGAGCTCTCTGTGCTTTTCCAAAAATCATAAAAATATTTTACAAGGAAAAAATCGCAGCAGAAATAGTTTATTTGCAAGTTCCCAAAATGAAAAAAAAAAATACATAAGAACAGGGAGGTAGCTAACCGTACAAGTTCGAAGGTCAAACCGCAGCAACTACATTCTGCAGCCTACAGTTGATGACAATTATATAACAGTGATAAATTTTTTATCTTCCTAAAATTTTTTTTCGATTATGGGTCTGAGTTTTGTTTTTTCTCATTTTGGTTTGAAACGAAACCGTAATAAAAGTAGAAGCTTTAATTTTTTATGACGTAATATCGCAGATATATAAATTATATCAGTGTAAATGTGCATTTTTTTTATTATGCCAGAACGTATTTTGTTTTACTTCATTCCAGTAAATAAATTTTTTTAATATTTTATTTTCGATATGCTCGCGCCCCCCTTGTACGTTTATCGCGCCCCCCCAGGGGGGCGCGCCCCACAGTTTGAGAAACACTGCATTATACCATCATTTCTCAAACTGTGGGGCGTGACCCCTTGGGGGCGTGATAACTCTACAAAGGGGGCGAGCCTATTGTAAAGTCGAAAACAAAAGGTTATTTATAAAATTATTAACTTACTGAAAGTAAACAAGCAAAATACTTTCTGATATAATAAAATATAAAATACGCATTTTTACACAGATATAATACTCTTGTAAATGTATCAGTACTGTACAATGTATATTTAAATATTAATTTAACAATACTAAGTTAAAAGAACAAGTTTGATAATTATCGGTAACCCCATGGGCTTGTATTAACACTTATCTTGATAATTTGTTCGATTTATAATTAATTCCTTAACTGCCGATCTAAAGTTACGCAATTCGCTCTCCAATGCCACCGTTTACCACGTAGACGACGTATTTTGATGTTTTTTGCGGGGGAGGAGGAAAGAATTAAAGAAGCACAAATCCTCTGAAATAAGTAATTCCTTCGCAAACACTGTCAAGGTTCTTTTATTGCATTCCAAAGCCCTCGGAATAATTTTATGGATAGCATTGCACAAAAAAGATCGTACTTCGGACAGACGTATATATACGTCCAGAAAATTAATGCTTTGTCTGAGTGAGACGTTTATGCACGTTGGTGGCACATAAGAGGTTAAAGTCGTATTGTAGCTTTAGAGTCAAAGTGTAGTATTATTAAATTGAATACATTGTTATTGTATGGCGCGATGAAAATGATGATTGAATAGTGGGTCGCGTATATTGAAAATTTGAGAAGCACTGCATTATACAATGATTTAGTTTTTATAGAAAGGAGTTAACCTACCAAGACCTAAACGACTTCAACAACAATTATTTTAATAGACTTTTCATAGTCTGCTTTGCAGTAGTGAAACAGTGATTTAAATCTAAAACTCTTTAAAAAAAACTCTTAAAATTGCATAGAAATCTTGTATATTTCTTTTAAAATGTGACACCACTATCTTATAAATATGGAAATAATTTTATTTTCTTGACAGAAGAAATAATAATTATTCATTCTTCAATACAACTTTCCAAAATCACTCTAAATCAGCGGTCGCCAACCGGTGACTTATAAACCACTGATGGTCCTTGAAAATGTTTTGGTGGTTCACTGAAAAATTGAGACATTATACATATTTGTTTTAATATTCAGTTTCAAAAATGACGAGTAATAATACTTGTAAGCAACTTCCATCTGAAGTCGCTCTCGCACCGTCCTGCCTACCTAAAGATGTTGGAGGAAGCAAAACATGACCAGAAACTTCCATAATAATTCTAATTTATTATTATTCAAGCACTCTAATTAACTACAAGATAAACCATAAGAGGAAGACCTTGCAGTGATATAAAGAAAACAATAAACCCTGAGTGAACAAGCGCAAGTAAATAAATCAAATTAACCTAATCAATCTCAACTTATAAGTTCATAATCCACTAATTTAGTATATTGATAAAACTCCGTTCTTAACTCAAAATGTGTAAATCACTTAAATATCATCTTAGTAGAGCTGCAACGAATTCTCCGCTCCTTTTGCCTTACAACTATCAAACTCTGACCTTATATACTCTAACTAATCAGCATATCAAGGTTTCTTCTTCGGAGGGATGGCTGGGAATTAAACGCGAATGCTAGCCCGAAGATTCCCCAAGAGGATTAGTATGAAGGTCTCGTCAAGACCCGTCACAACTCCCTCCAAGAAGAAAACGCGATTTAGTTGAAGGTCACAATGAACCGATAGAAATTACGTTGAAAAAAAATTTGCACTTAAACTATCAAGAATTATTTAACACGAAATTGGCATTAACTCCTACATAACAATACACTAGATTTAAAAAAAAACACTCCAAAACTACTGACTCAATACTTTATATCACTCACAAGACCTCCACTTTTAGATTGATTGATTGAAAGATATGATGCCGCAAGTGCACCACCAGAAACACTGCGCCCTGTCAAAAAGACACAAGCAAGAAAAAATTCGACATGCTAATTTTTGATCATCCTAGGGCAATAAAACTACAATAATTCGAACAAAATATGACAGTTTCACCTGCAATTAACATTCCCGTAAAGTTAACGCAAAGTGTCTGTGACTTGTGTCCTTTACTAAAGCCACGCACATTTGAAACATTTTATTTCAGTTTGATTCGATTTTTTTTTCTCAAATTATCAAAGTAAAATTGAGAAGTCCTTAAAAGTTGGTAAGTATACTTTCTCCAAGTTAAATTATTCTCACGAATTACGATTTTTTTCGTGCACAGTAAAAATAATTATAAAAAAAGGATGGGGTTGTCTCTGTGACCCATCGCGACCACTGACGTTAGTATCGAGTGCGCGACTTCTCCCAGGTTAATTTTTAATTAATACTCGTACATGAATTTCAACACATGATTACTGTAGAGTGTAGTCGCGTCGTTGGATAAAAGCAAAACAAGTTAAATTTTACACAGCTTTCGTTAAATTATATTATTTTCTATCACATGAATATAACTAAATCGATTTTTACAAAATTATCACTTACTTCAGTACTTCTCAAACTTTCAATATTTGCGACCCAATACTCAATCATAATTTTCTTCGCACCCGTCCCGTACAATAACAATGTATTCAATTCAACAATACGATACTTTTGTGCTAAACCTACAACTCGACTGTAAACTCTTAAGTGCCGCAGGCGTATGTAAAAGTCTCGCTCAACCAGTACGCCGATTGCCCTGGACGTATATATACGTCTTTCTGAAAAACGAACTTTTTTTGAACTGAGCTCAATAAAATTATTTCAAAGGCGTTGGAATGCGATAAAATCACCTTGAAAGTGTTTGCGACGGATTAACTTATTTCAGAGGATTTGCTTATTTATTCCTTTTCTACCCCACCCCCCATCTCCCAATACACCAAATACGTTCGCCTTTAAGTTAAATGATGGCACTAGGAAAATAGCGTAATTTTTAATCGGCATTTGAGAGATTAATTATAAACCGTACAAGTTATCAAGATAAGTGTTAATTTTTGCACATCTAATATATATTATAAATGCGAAAGTTTGTGAATATCTTTGTGGGTCTTTCATGCAAAAACAACTGAATGGATTTTAATGAAACTTTACAGTAATATAGCTTATACATCAGAATAGCACATAAGCTATAATTTATAGCATAGACTATAATTTATAAAGATATTGTATGAAGTGTCCAAAATATAACCATATTTGTCAAGTAAGGAAAAAATTTAGCCATCTGCGAGCAATTCTAGCTTGCGCTGCAAAAAAGCCCACGTCAGCATATATTTATCTTTTGTTTGTGATCTCGATGCGAACGGATCACGAAGTCAAAGAAAGTCGCACGCTCAGCGTGGCCCGACGAGCTCGAACTTTGCATTATTCGAGTGTGGTTTCCTTTGGAGGGAACCTACAAGAGTGGAAAGTAAGGAGGCGCTTCTCTTCGGAGGCAGCGCAGCTCCAATAAAGGTGAAACCTGGTTGATCCTGCCAGTAGCATATGCTTGTCTCAAAGATTAAGCCATGCACGTCTCAGTACATGCCGCTAATATAAAAGGCGAAACCGCAAATGGCTCATTAAATCAGTCACGGTTCATTGGATCGTAACGCGTTACTTGGATAACTGTAGTAATTCTAGAGCTAATACATGCAGCCGAGCTCCGAGAGCCCTCTCGGGGCAGGACGAGCGCTTTTATTAGATTCTTCCCCACGGTCTCCGGACCGTCGAAGTGACCGAAGCTGAGTAACTTTGCAGATCGCACGGGCCCGCCCCGGCGACGCATCCTTCAAGTGTCTGCCTTATCAACTGTCGACGGTAGGTTATTCGCCTACCGTGGTCGCCACGGGTGACGGGGAATCAGGGTTCGATTCCGGAGAGGGAGCCTGAGAAACGGCTACCACATCTAAGGAAGGCAGCAGGCACGCAAATTACCCAATCCCGGCTCGGGGAGGTAGTGACGAAAAATAACGACGCTGGACTCTACGAGACCCAGTCGTCGGAATGAGTGCGCTCTAAACCCTCGACGCGAGGACCCACCGGAGGGCAAGACTAATGCCAGCCGCTGCGGTAATTTTAGCTCCGGTAGCGTATACTAAATTTGTTGCAGTTAAAAAGCTCGTAGTTGGATTCCTGCTCTGGACGTAGGGGGCCGCTAACGCGGTCCACCATGCGCACCCGGCATTCTGCCCGCCGCTCCCGAGATCGTTGTCAAAGGCGGCTCGGGGTGGATGGCGGAGATCGCTTTGCAAAAATTAGAGTGCTCTAGGCGGGCCACTAAGCTCGAATAGTAATGCACGGTACGATGAAACATGACTTTGGCTCTTATTCGGTTGGGGCACGGAGACCGAGGTAATGATTAATAGGAGCAGACGGGGGCATTCGTATTCCGACGCTAGAGGTGAAATTCTTGGACCGTCGGAAGACGCACCACTGCGAAAGCATTTGCCAAGAATGTTTCCGTTGACCAAGAACGAAAGTGCGCCGGGCAGCTCTTCCGGGAAACCAGAGTTCCGGCTCCGGGGGAAGTATGGTTGCAAAGCTGAAACTTAAAGGAATTGACGGAGGGGCACTACCAGGAGTGGAGCCTACGGCTTAATTTGACTCAACACGGGAAAACTTACCCGGCCCGGACGTGTTATCGGTTGAACAGACTGACGGCTCTTTTTAGAGTTTGTGGATGGTGGTGCATGGCCGCAGTTGGTTCGTGGGGTGACCTGTCTCGTTAATTCCGATAAACGGACGAGATTCTTGCTTACTAATTCAGCTACACGAGGGCTTTTGGCAACGTATCACGTAATTTTGAACCATGGTCAAGTGACGTGGACGACAAATGAGCTGGCACCCTCTTCTCCTAACTACCACACCACACCAACTTCGAAGGAATATTCTACCAATACTTAGCAGGAATATTCTTTGAAATCCACTATTCCGAGATATATGGCAGCACGGGTTCCATGATGAGTATTTTAGCGGAAAAAATAGTTTGTCGAAATTTAAGTGTCTTATGTTTTTGTATGTTAATGAAGACCTTAGAAAATGATTTGACTACATATTTTAAGTGAATGGTATATATAATTAATTTTACAGTGGCATATCTTTAATTAATTTATTAGCTCTAACGGATTAAATTTTCCAAAGTGGAGTATTTTGTTTATGTATATCCCGTAATTTGTAAATGTAGTGATCCAAAAAAAATATTGTATGAAAAAAACTGCAGTAAATCATAATGCGGTTGGATAAAGTATTAACGTGCATCGCCCCCCTACACGGCGGGTCTTACAAAGCTCTACTAAAGCTCGAGCTACGAAAGTAGCCAGGCATTAGCTAACTTGATTCTATCGTTAACATTTCACTATGTTTTTCATTGAATCGCCATTATAATTTAAGAAACGGCGTTGCTTGCGAATATTATAATTTTAAAATAAAATAAATACAAACAGAAAGTAATATTAATGTATTACACTTTCAGATATAAATTATTTACACTACTTTAAGCGTTCATTATGCAAAACTTTTAACAATGTGTTACTTTTGGTGAGCAGAGATCAGCTTAGGGAGGTATTTTGAAAAATCGACCCTCAAGAGTGTTACGAGGAATTATAAATAATAAAAAAATCCTTTTTATCAGCTATTAGATCTACATACATAAAATTTAACAAAGGTGTTTTTTTTCTTTCTCTTTTGTTTAGCTGAGATATGCAAAAAGCTTTTTTTGTTTAATTTGCAATTCACATAAAATTAACTCATTAAAAACTTCTTTTTCCTTCAATCGTGTTGTTTAATTTTTTAGTTCACCCGTGCGAAGAACGGGTATAAAAGCTAGTAAGTTTATACATGAGAATCCCATGAGGTCAATAGTAATTAATAAATTTGTTCTTTATTTAGAGAATTGTTAAATTAATTTTGAAATACACACATTGTGCAGTTCTTATATAGTTTTAATTGTCTTATATTAGTGTAAATGTGTCTGTTATTTTTTTTTATTATGCCAGAATGAATTTTGTTTGTTTACTTTCAGTGAATCAATAATTTTTTTAAAATAATCTTTTGTATTTGACTTTTCAATATGCTCGCGCCCCCAAACCCCCGTAGGGTTACCGCGCGCGCCAAGGGCCCCACAGTTTGAGAAACACTGCTTTACTTCGGTATTTCATTTTCAGATTTAAAAAAAGGTAAAGGAAAAGAGTACCAATGGATAGATTTCGCAGAGTAAGTGATGAGCGCAAAGGTGGAGTTTGTGTGGGAATTCAAACCCTTTCTTCTCATACACCAACAGTTTCTTAATACCGGGTGTTTCAATCGTCACGCACATCAACCTTTGTGGTAGTGTTTTAAAGACAGATGAATTACGTTAACAAACAGAATAAAGGTCAAATAAATGTTGAAGGTTATCCTTATTGTCATGTGTCAGACACACATGGTAAAATAACAGTGAATGTTTAAAATTATGTCCTTTTTCTTGAAAACACAATCGAACTCTTTTTACCAGATTAATTGACACTTTACGAAGAGTGCGAGAATTAATGTCCTATATTGCAAAAAAGGATATTTCTCTTAAGTTCATCAAGTATTAGGGGAATTATTCCTGAAATCGATATTTTTCATACATCCCCAAAGAAAAAAAATCCTCAATTGACAAGTCCGGTAAAAGAGGTGGCTAAAGTTCTTTGGAAATGACATGATCATCGAAAAATTGTTAAAACTCCTATACTGTCCCGTGAAGTGTGACACGTTGCACCGTCTTGCTGCAACCCAGCTACCTTTCATCACTGTTCAGCAAGGATATGAATTCTGTAATGATCCTTATGTAGAAGTACGGTCTTTTCAATGGAATTCTTTGTAAAGCGGTCTTACATCTACCGCTTTCACTTTAACTATGGACGCTGTACCCGATCGGTTCCTGTCTGCAAACGAACGATCCTGTGTCACAGAACCGTTGCACTAAAAATGTATTTGGTGCTGTTTCACCTGCATATTTCTGCTGAAATGCATTTATCACATTGCAATGAGATTTTGTAGCGAAATAAAATTCCACAATGGCTATTATTTGCTCTTGTGAAAACTTAATGCACCTCCCGTTGTACTCAACCGATTACAACTGATAAGTATTTTGAAACTGATGCCTGATACGTTCAAAACTTCTTATGATGGGGCCCCTGCTGCCATCTAGTGGCAGAAATCTCACCCAACCCTTTTGGTTTTTAAGCAACAAGGATTACCATGTGGATGAGCGGGACTTTTGAAACACCTGGTATTTAGCATAAAGATTACTTCTAGGCATTCTCGAATAATTTTTAACCCTCTGAGTGGATGACCCGCTAATTGAATTTCACTTCGAAAGCGGTCTACTTTTTCAAAGCTAGTGGTAGCGAAAATGTTTCTGTTGAATTTCGCGAACTGCTTCGAAAGCGCACCACAGTTTTATGCCTTCCCCCCTTAAAACTGCGGGAGGTCCTCAAATGGTTTTGCAGGGGATGATTTTATTGCTTTTCGGTTTCTGTGTTGTTCGAAAGGGGAGGTTTCTCATTCACAGCTGTGGCCTAGGGCGAGGATTGTGAAATGGACATTTTCTCCACTTCACGGCCAACAGAAACTTCTCCCAGTTTATTGCAAACAAGCAAATAAAAGGTAAAAAATAAAGTTTTAAAGGAATGACTCATTCAAAGTTGAAAAATATTTTTAATATATGTATAAGCAAAAGAAAATTTATATTTTTCTCCTGTTATTTTTAAGAGCTTTAAAAATTTTTTAAAAGGAACATTTTTATTTCGGTGTTACAATTTTAATCATACAGAAGCTCTCTGTAATCATTGTTGAATATCAGACGAAGAAAAATCAAGAATATTTTCCTGTTATTTTTTTATTTTTTTAATTATGAGGTAAAAAGTAAAAGTGATTATTTTTTTATTTAACAAAATTATAATAAATGTAGTAGCATTATATATGCTGAATAAATTTGTAAAATAAAACTTGGATTTCTGCAATTTTTTATATTTTTAATTAACAATAACACATAAAAAGTCATTTCAATACTTTTAATTTATGCAAATTTATATCTTTATCTTTATATTTTTCTGTTGAATGATTTTTTTCGCTATAAATCAACATAACAACTTGCACTGAGAGAAAATCCCCTTCTCTACGTCAGCATTTGCACACATAATACACATTCAATCAGTGGCGCTCACAAGGGAAGGGATTCTTGGGTCCAGACCCCCCGTCCAAAGCACTGGCTTTTTTTTTTCGATTGATTATATTCCCATATATATTTAATAAGTATTATATATATATATATATATATATATATATATATATATATATATATATATATTATATATATATTTTGGAAAACTTGCTCATTTTCTGATCTAAAAACCAATTAGGTTTTAAGAAATTTTAATTTTCTGAGTTTTGATTTTAAATTCGGTTTCATTTTAAAGCATTTTTTGAATTCCTAGATTGAATTAATTAAAAATATTTTTTTTTTTTTTAACACAATCCATTATTTCGTGTGAAATGTCTATTAACTGCAATTTTAATTTCTAAAATCCTTTCTGTTTGCTTATGTTTTTAAGTTTTTGAGTTTTCTCACATTTACTTAATTAAGATTGATTTAAAGACCAAATTATTTTTTGACACATAGTTTATATAATTTAAAAGCTCTTTACTTTGTTTTCATTATTTTTTTCCTTTTGAAAAATGCCATGACCAAAATTTATGCAGGCTACTGTGATAAATAATACTTGAAAGGGATGGAATATGACTGAAAATGGTAAATCTAAAATCCAGCTTTCAGGTGATATTACAATTAGACAACAGAATGCAAATGTTGCAGAATGAACTAAATATTTTCCTGACTTACCACAAACTACATTATAATAAATATATTGTAGTACTACATTACAGTATTTTAAAGTCATGCAACAAAAACTTAAACTTGCTTACCAGCCACGATGGGGAACTGAGAAAAAAATATATTATTTACAATCTTGGTGATTTCTGGATTACGTTTGTATCACTACTATTTTCTGTATAAATATTTTGCATTTAAAACTCTTGAGAATATATAAGGTTCTGATAAAACAGAATAATTGATCAAATTAACAATTGTTATCAATATTATGTCGAAGAAAATTTTGAATTAAAAAAGATATTTTCAGTCATATTTATTTCAAGTAGAATTTCATGTAGAAAATAAGTTGGATAGTAACATATTAAAAAATTAAAGCTTTACAGGCATTGGAATTTTTTTTATGCCTTTACAAATTTTAAATGTGTTTTTCTCAGATTTTTAATTTTGAAGATGAAAGTGTATTCTAATCCCTTAGGCGTTTTTCCTATTCAAGATAGAGTCGTGAAATATCTTGTAAATATTCCCTAACATATGTTCTATAAAAGTTCATATGGATTTAGGTCTGAGAGCTCTAGTTATTTTTTTTTAAATATCTTAATGTTAATATTTTTAAAAAATTGTGTTTT